GTATGTGAGCCCACAGCCGTGCACGGTTCCGGTTCTGTATGTGAGCCCACAGCCGTGCACGGTTCCGTATGTGAGCCCACAGCCGTGCACGGTTCTGGTTCCGTATGTGAGCCCACAGCCGTGCACGGTTCCGGTTCTGTCTGTGAGCCCACAGCAGTGCACATTTCCGGTTCCGTATGTGAGCCCACAGCAGTGCACATTTCCGGTTCCGTATGCGAGCCCACAGCAGTGCGCAGTTCCGGTTCCGTATACGAGCCCACAGCAGTGCACATTTCCGGTTCTGTATGTGAGCCCACAGCCATGCGCGGTTCTAGTTCCGTATGTGAGCCCACAGCAGTGCACGGTTCCGTATGTGAGCCCACAGCAGTGCACATTTCCGGTTCTGTCTGTGAGCCCACAGCAGTGCGCAGTTCCGGTTCCGTATGTGAGCCCACAGCAGTGCACATTTCCGGTTCTGTATGTGAGCCCACAGCCATGCGCGGTTCTGGTTCCGTATGTGAGCCCGCAGCAGTGCACGGTTCCGTCTGTGAGCCTCTCGACCTCACTCCTGTGTTCTGAAGACCGAGGTCTTGCAGACTCCAGCAGCAGTTAACTATTGAGCAAGCACAGCACCTCTCCTTAGCCTGGACCCAAGGGAACCCTCTTGGGTTGCATCACATTGAAGGATCCTCAGGCCCACCTGCAGCCATGGCCCAATCTTCCTCTTCTCCTTGGCTCCTTCTTGTCCCAGAGAGTCACTTGTGATCACTCCCTGCTAGTGAATCCTGCACTTCCCATCTTCCTCTCAGGTGCCTCTGGGTGATTCCTGAGGCCTCATCATCATGGTGCTTTTCTTTCTGCGTCCTCATCCCTAATAATCTCTTTTCCCTTTGTGGCATCAACTGTCATCCTTGAGCAGATGCAAACAAACCCCAGATCTCTAGCTGTATTTTCCCTTTCCTCGTGACAGCCCTGCATTTCCAGCTGTGCTTCACAAAATGATTTCCTTTGATTCTCTCATGCAACGCTATGTCTAACAGTAAATATTGATGAGTTAGAAAAGAGTATGGCATTATATGGAAATGTCTACATGTATCCTGCAGCCACGTCGGCTGGAGTCTGAAAGCAGATTAAGCTATCTAGCCTTCTGGTTCTATTTCTGTTTTTCTTACCTTTATTTATGGCACCCTTATATCTTCCATATCCAGCCTAAAACATCTGGGGTCATTCTGAGCCTTCTCTTTACCTCCCTTATGCCAACACTCAGTGGGATGCCAGATAATGTGGACACGTCCTCCCCAGGACTGGCCTGCTGCATCTGATCCTTCCGGTCTACTCCCACCAACTAGCTGGATGCGGGGGCTGGGAGAGCTTGCTGCTACACTGGACTTTAAGGGCCAGGTTTCCTGGCCCAAATTCTGGCTTGTTCATTTATGACCTCTGTTAGCTCAGTACTGTGGTACAACCTTCCTGTGCCCACAACTCCTCATCTGAAAAATGAGGATCATCATAGGACCTTCCTTCAAAGGTTCTTTTTATTTACTTATTTACTTATTTATTTATTCCACTTATTTAGACAAAGTCTTACTCTGTGGCCTTGGATAGAGTGCCATGGCATCATAGCTCACAGCAGCCTCATACTCTTGGGCTCTAGCAATCCTCTTGCCTCAACTAGTCCCTAGTTGCTGGGACTACAGGTGTATGCCACAACACCTGCCTACTTTTTCTATTTCTAGGAAAAATGGGGTCTCGTTCTTATTCAGGTTGGTCTCCAGCTCCTGAGCTCAAGGAATCTTCCCACCTCGGCCTCCCCGAGTGCTAGTATTACAGGTGTGAGGCACCAATTCCTTCTTCAGGTCTTGTGAGAATCAATTGAAATCTTCCTTTCTCCATTTTTTATTGTGAAATTTAACATATATAGTAAAGGACATGTGGAATATATGTATCCCATAACAAATAATTATATAGCACATACATGTGAAACCACTTCCTAGGTTAAGAAAACTCATCTGATCAAAGCATTTTTCCCTCTCTAGATAATCATTACCCCGGCTTTTAGGAAAGCCTTTTCTTTGATTTTTTTTAATCTGTGTTGAAATCCCCCCAGATATGGTTTAGTTTTGCCTGCTTTGAGCTTTACATTAAGAGAACTATGTAGTATGTTTTCTTTTTCTAGGTGTAAGGGGATCATTGGTACATCAGTGATGTAGCACACAGTCTAATTCATTCATTTATGTTGCTTAATCCTAGTCCAGTGAATAACTAGGTCAGGATTTATCCATTTTGCTATAAATATGTGGTTGTGTGAGTTGTTTCCAGTTTGGAACTACTAACAGATAATACTGCTGTGAAAACTCCTGTCTGTCGTGCTACCCATGAGGAAGCATCCTCTGTGTCATATATCATTAGGAGTAGAATTGTCACATGACAGTCTGGAGTTAACATTTCCATACAGTGCCATATTGTTCTCTAGTGTGAGTCACCAATACTTATTGCAGGGACAACATTATATGAGAGAATAAAATGAGGTAATTTTGTAAAACAAGTGTAGAGCCTGACATTTCATGAGTTTTAAGAAATTGTGCGTAGACCAGGTGCTGTGGCTTATGCCTGTAATTCTAGCACTCTGGAAAGCTGAGGCAGGAGGATCACTTGAGGTCAGGAGTTCGAGACCAGCCTGAGCTAAGAGCGAAACGCTGTCTCTACAAATAGAAAAATTAGCTAGGTATGGTGGCAGGTGCCTGTAGTCTTAGCTACTTGGGAGGCTGAGGCAGGAGGATCACTTGCACCCAGGAGTTTGGGGCTGCTGTGAACTTAACACTGTAGCCTGGGGCAACAGAGTGAAACTCAAAAAAAAAAAAGGAATTGTGTTTATTTTCATTAGACTCTAGCCATTATTCTGTGCTATTCAGATAATTATATTAGTTTTCTAAACAGTTGGCTTGCCTTGAGAATTTTTTCTGATCAGTCTTTTCCGGGGACTATTGTAGAGGTATCGTCTCTACCACTCCCCTGCCTGGACGTTAATTAGTATCCCCTCTCACCTCTGGGTAGAAATTGAAACTTCTAGTTTAATATTTGAGGCTTCCCTGATCTACCTGTTTTCACTCCTTTCCTAGTTGTGGTCCTCATCTGTCTCAGAAAAGAGACTCAGGTCAGAGACAAAGGTCTGCAGGCTCCAAATTGTGATGAAGGAGCTGACACTGAGCCCCGTGCAGAAATGTGGCACAGTGTCAGTGCGGACGGGTTGTTTTCCGCCCAGGGAGCGAGCCTGCACCTGCTGCCCCTCACTTCTCAATGCAGAGAGAATGCAGCCTGGTTTGGGTCATGGATAGTGACTCGGTATCCACCCCGAGAGAGAAGAGTAAAAGCTGATTGTGGGAATCCTTGGAGAGTCTGAAGTGGCTATAACTTAAATCTGCCTCAACCTAAAAGTTTGAGTTCTTTATTTAGTCACCTAGACTGAAGCTGGCCAATGTAAATTTCCATGCGGATACTGAATAATTGGCATGGACTACCTGGAAGCACTGTTTTCAGAAGGATTCTGAGGCCAAGAATGAGGCACAGATGAGACTACAACAGATTAACACTGGTCAGTCTTTTAGAAGGAGGGAGGGGGTCCTTGACTTGATTTGATTTGGGCTGGTTAAAAGCTCATACTTAATAAATTCATCTGTGTTCCTGCCCAACTTTGTGTTGTTCACCCCAAGTTCTTAGGAACTTCAAGCCTTTTGTGGTTTACTTGAGGGCAGAGTTAAGGATCTAGCTTCTCTATTTAACTTCCTTGTTTCAGTTGAGGACCCCTCCAGATTTGAATCTTATTTAGTTTATCTGAAGCAGGGTCACTACCAAGTCATTTAGAGCAGGTTACATTTCTGTGAATTTTGTTTAATCGCTTGTCACCTACGATCTCAGTGGAAGGTTAGGGGTAGCCAGGTAGACTCAAATGGCAACTACCATCTTTAACAGGGTTTCTGGTGCATCGACAGTGAATTTTCCATTTATTTCTATCTCAAAGCCCCTCCTCCCTTTGAACTTACTTATTAATGTCCTGTTTCTAATTTTATCATCCTTTAGCTCATTTACAGAGCAGAGGGTATGAACACTTGTGAATGCACTGATGATGAACTCAAGGATTGCAGACCATCCCTGTCTACCTGCCAGGGGCATTCGAGTATCATCAATGTTCCCTTCCAGTCATGACAGTTTATAATACCAGGATCTCTGAATTAATACATTAAATCTTGCAAGGCATACCTCTTCCCAAAGGCAGAGGTGGCAATGTTGCTCCAAGAACTGGAAAAGGGCCAAGGGGAGTCGAGGGTGGGAAGGAGGAGAGACTCTGTCTTGTGATTAGAAGCTGAAGGGTCTTATAAGTGATTGGGATTGGGTCGGGCACCACCGTGGAGAACACTGGCTCTACACTGATTGCACTGGGACTTAATCCATGGGTTAATTTTTCTCCCTTTTTTGGAGGGTACCAAATGTGTACTTAGCTACTGTGCTTTATTATGCCTTGTATTTAAATGGGAAATTGGGAGCCTGAAGATGTTTACAGCATGATATGGCCTAGAGCAGATGGTGATAAACTCTCTAATGAGTATTTTACAGCCACTATGGAAAATAGTGTCGAGGTTCCTCAAATAACTGGAACTGCCATGTGATCCAGCAATCCCATACTGCGTATATATCCCAAAGAAAGGAAAGCAGTATGCCAGAGAGATAGCCCAGCTTGTTTATTGCAGCATTACTCACAATAGCCAAGGCAGGCCATCACGCTAAGTGTTCATCAATGAATAGCCAGAACACAGAGGCTGTACATGCAGTGGAATACTACTCAGTCGTAAAAAGAATGCAGTTCTGTCGTTTGTATCAACAGGGATGGAACTGGCACACACTATGTTCAGTGAAATAAGCCAGTCACAGAAAAACAAATATGTAACATGTGCTCACTTATGTGTGGAAAGTAAGCAAATTAATCTCATGGAGGTGGAGAGTAGAAGGAGGGTTACAGGAGGCTCAGAAGGGTAGTTGGCAGGGATGGAGAGGGGTTGATTCCTGAGTACAGAAATACAGTTAGATGAAGGAAGATGATCTAGTGTTCATCAGGGCAATGAGATGACTACAGTTAATAATAACTTATTCTATATTTCAAAATAGAAGAGTGGGTTTAGAATGTCCCCAATGCACACACATACACACACACCATAAGTGCTTGGGGTGATGGACACCCCACTCACCTTGATTTGATCCTTACACATTGTGTGCTTATATCAAAATATCACATATGTCCCATAAGTATGTACGGCTACTATGTGCCATAAAATGTCTTTTAAAATGAAAATCCTCTGAGGTTTCACTCTCGCTCTCCTGCTTCCCACTTGCCATCTAGGGAGGACTGGAGCGTCAGGAAGGACGATGGAGGAAGTGGGGGTGGAGGGGGTTCTGAGGGTGAGGAGGCTTTCTCTTCCTCTCTCCTTCTTCCTCCTTTCTAATCCTCTCCTTCCTGGGTAGCACAGGTGTGGGCTGTGGTGAGGCAGCCAGCTGAGCCGTTCCTCTTCTGGGACATGAAGGAGCATGTGCTGGGGACTTGGGATTCCAGAGGAACCGGTTCTGCTCCTTGTCATCTCCTGCCCACCACTGGGGCTGCTCATTGCTCCACAGTGCACTCATGAGGCAGAGGAGGGTGTAAACACCCTCTCGGAGGCCACACCTCCCCACCAGGCACTCAGGGAGCTGTCGCTCAGAGAGGGTTTGCTCTCAGCCAGTCTGATGGTGCTGCTGGCATGATGGCTTCCAGGGAGACTCTTCCAGGTGGCTCTTCATTTATGACAGTAGTCCTTCTCTGTTTGGAGTGAGCAGGGAAGCAGTTACAGCAGAATTGTATTCAAGGATGGACAAACGAACCACCTGGGGACTGTTCCAAATAAGTATACCTGGGCTTCACCTCTGGACCATCTAGTGCAAACTATGGCCGCCATGTGCTGTGAAAGCCCTTCTCATGCCATTGGGTCCGTGCTGCCTGTCCCATGGGCTCTGCAGAATGTTCTTCTCATAGGACCCCAAGAGCCCATGTGTTTCCCAACATTATGGTCCATACTTCTCCCGTCCTTACCATTTAACTTTAAAGAAACAGTCCAGCAGTACCCCCATTGCCATCTGATACAGGTCCATTTCCGTGCATTATGTGGTCTGTGTTGGTTGTTGACTCTTGGTATCATCTTCATAATTATTTTATTTTTTATGTGTTGTTTTCAGTTCCAGATTTTCGAGCTTACTTGATAGGCGGGCTTCTTGCCTTGACTGTTGTGGCCGTGTCTGTTGTGTGGCTCTACAATGTTTTCAAGATCGATGTTGTACTTTGGTATAGAAGTGCTTTCTATTCTCCTGAGACCATGGAAGGTAAGTGTGTGTAATCACTGAAAAAGGCCTCAAAATTGTATCTTCTTGTGGCACATTTAGAGGAAGGAATTTCCCTGGAATGTCCTGTGCTTCAGAGAAAGGATTTGTGGGTGACCACGAGCATTAGCCCATCAAATAAAGCTAACAGGTTCTTAGGGACCCAGTTCCTATCCGTATTAGCTTGGCAGCGGGAGGAGATCGCCTTCTTGGGCCCAACTGCAACCAGCATACAAAGGTTCTCACATTCATCCTCCGTCCCCTGGAGGGAATTTCTCCAAGAGCAGAGAGCTCCCTGCCCCCCAGCTTCCCTGCAGCACTACCGTGCTGGCCCAGAGTGTGGGACCCAGCAGTGGTGAGCCAGTCCCTGTTAATGCCTGAGGGGATTTCAGTCCCCCACTTGCAGATTTGGTGAGACACAGACCCAGGTTTAGGTAGGTATTTAACTTTCTTTTATTTCTTGGCTTTAGAAAGGAGCAGAGGAAGGGAGGAAGGGAGGGAGGGAGGGAGGATAGAGGGAGGAAGGAGGGAGGGAGGGAGGAGAGAAACCAAAATCCTGCTTCCCCAAGGGACTGGTGAGAGTAATGAGCTGAAGTGCAGGAGAGCCTTCCGCAGGTGTCTGGTCACAGGGGGTCCAGTGTGTGTCTGGAGGTCAGAGCAAGCCACCCCCACTGCTGGGCTCTGGGGTCTCAGTCTGTGGTACCCTGGTCCCGCCAGTGCTGTTTGACACAGAAATGCCTCGGTGCGATCCTCAAAGCCTGAGCACGGGCGTTTCCTGCCGTGATAGCTGTAACTCTTTCCGCTCCTTTCTTTACTTGTCTTAGAATGGATGTGTTCCTGAAGAAAGTAATCAGTTCTGCTCTAATGTCCCCTAATTAGATAGGACAATTGATAGGAAGCCCAAAGACGCCTGTGCAGCTGACATGCATGGAGACGCACCCATTTGTACCTTTCATGTCCCGAGACTTGCGGTGGCAAGAACTAGGTGTCCAGGCAGCCTGCCTGAGTCACTGATGCACAGAAGAGTCGTCTGCACGTCACATATGTGCACAAGTTGTTGTCCACGTTTGATAAGGCATAGGTGTCCTTTATTCCAAATTGAATTTCAAAATTCAAAATCAGTACCCCTTGGGCCACATAGCAATGTGCTCCATTTTTTAGGGTAAATTTGTCTGGGCCTTGTCCTCCTGGCAAAACTCGAAGGGCTGCTGGTACTGCACCCAGCCAGGTGGGGTGTGGTCCCCGCCGAGGCTGCCCTGTCTACGCCTGCCCGTGACTGTGTTTCTGCCTGCATCCTTGAGAGGAAGGCGGTTCAGTCCACCACCTCTTATTTTTTTTCTGACACAGGTGTTAGCAGTTGGGCTGCTTTCTGTTTTCTGACTAACAGAGGCCAGCGTTGCTGTCCGAGGTCTTCCTGGAAGCTCTGGCCCCACGGTGTATGTCTCCCCCTGAGTCACTGCAACTTCCAGGGCGTGACTACAACTGACCTTGACTTACCACCACTGTGCATGGTGGAGCTGCCGGTGAGGTCAGGCTGAGCAGGAAGAGCAAAAAAGGAATAGTGACTCACCCAGAAGGGAGCCCCACCCTCTGCTGAGACTGAGCCGCAGCCCAATTCAGCACCAGAGGATGGAGGCTATGGAGATGGGCCTGGCAGGCAGCCAGTAGTCCTCTTTTTCTTTATTCGTATTTTTTTATGCATAAAAGTACGTGGGCATTTTGTGATTAAATTCTCTGCAGCTGCGCCTGCGAGAGCCACCCTGTGCTATCTCTGAGTGCCAGCTTTATCAGTGAGCCAGTGAGGAGACTCTGCGAGGAGGCTCAGATCCTGTTCAGGCCTTTCTTCCCCTGGAGAATATTTTCTGGGTTATCTGGTCCTGTACCAAGTAATAGATGACAAATCCACATGAGAGGCAGAGAGATATTACATCCTTCTTGGGATGAGTCACTTGCCCCAAGAAGGCTAGTTAAGCTTTGTAACGCAACTACTAATTAGTGTGTATGACTCATAGTTTTAATAAGGACCGTTGAAGGTTTAGCTGAAGTTGACAAAGGCGGTATATTCTCTAGCAAGTCACAGACACTTTTAAACCTCTCTCATGCATGGGGGCGTGTACAAGGACGGAAAGGCCAGTTTACAAATTTGTGAGAGAGATTTATGTGTGCTTCACCTTCTTCCAAAAAGGTCTGCGGAGAATGGACTTGTAGGGTGGAATGGTTACGACAGAGCATAACATAACAGGTCCAGCCAACAAAGGGCAATCGAAGGTAGAAAATAAGTCAGGGTAGTGTTAACAGGTCTTCCACAGTTGATAAAGGTGAATTTGCCTTCAAAGGCAAAGCCAAAGCAATTACAAGATTTAATGCGGGCTGTTCATGAAAACCTTTCAGTTGCTCACAAAAAAAAACCATGACTTTTTCTGGGAATAATTTCTAAAGATTCTTTTTAGGGGTTCATCATTTTAAAAGGATTGGGTGTAAGGGAACTTGTCTGTAACAACATTCCCATGGTAAATGCAACAGCTTGTTTTGTGTGACTTTTCTTTGTGTCTTCTATCTTCTATGCGTGTTAAGGCTAAACCCACCGAACCTTATGCAATTCAGTAAAAGCGTTTGCATGGAGGCCTGATTGAATTGGTCTGATTTTCCACTGGCCTGGTTTGATCAGGCTTAAAATTCAGCAATATCATATTAGAGAAAGGAGGCAATTAAATAAATCTTTAAGAAACTTTTCATAAATATTTATACAAATGTGCTTTTGTATTTTTTTTGCCAGCAGCCAATAAAGGCTGTTTTAAGGGAGCGGAAATAAATTCTGCCTCTTTGTAGGAGTGTGGCAAAGTTCTAAAAGAGCATGTGGATCTGGAAATACTGCTGGGGCTGTTTGTGGACAACTTAGTCTGATGTAGTTGCATAGGCCCAATCAGGGATAAGCTCTGTGAAGTTTCTTGCTCCCATTTTTTTCTTTTTCGTTTGTTCTTTCTTTTTTTCTCTCCATTACCTTCCCTTCCCCCCAGCTTTCTTCCCTTTTTTTGGAAAAGAGTCTTTTTCTTCTGCTCTGGGTAGAATGCCATGGTGTCATCCTAGCTCACAGCAACCTCAAACTCTTGAGCTCAAACAATCCCCCTGCCTCAGCCTCCCAAGTAGCTGAAACTACAGCTACCTGCCATGATGCCTGGTTAATTTTTCTAGTTTTAGTAGAGATGGGGTCTTGCTCTTGCTCAGGCTGATCTTGAACTCCTGAACATGGCCTCCCCAAGCACTAAGATTACTGGCGTGGGCCACCACACTGGTCCCCTGCTCCCATTTTTCATTTTAGCCACACCAGAGGGAACGGTGAACCTGGCTTTATCAAGGCTGTGCACTTAACTGGCTGGGAGACTTTGGGGAGATTGTGCAGGCAAGTTGGCTTTAGCTCCTTTACTCATCATCTGATGATACAATCATGTCCCTTGTAGTTGACTGTGACAGGAAAAGCCGTGAAATGCTGGGGTACTATTGCCCAACAAGGCCATTTAAAATCAGAGGGTTGATGCAAAAGGCAGCTTGACCTTTGGCCATATTGGTCAGTAAATTACGAATTAGTCATTTGAAAGAGATGGAACGCACTGCATCTTAAAAAAAAGTCAGCAAGTCCTGTTTCCATTCAAAAGCTTAGTCAGAGAAAAAAAATATTTTAAAATTGGGGGAACGTTTATTTTTAAGCATTTAAAAGGCATGAGACTTTCTTACTACCAAATCTCTTCTGTTCCTGAGTTTGGACAGCAGCACGTACCTATATCCTCAGAGACCTTGCTTAGAAAGAGGGAGCACAAAACTCTAGCAAAGGAGAGGGTACACTTAGAAAAACTGGTTTGTCTGTTTATGATCAGAGGCAAGTGGGGAAAAAAAGAGAAACAGGCTTAGAGAAGAGAGATACTAGTGGGCAGGACCTGAGACAGAGTTGGTGATAAAGCTGAATGTTGGCTGCAGGTCAGAGACCAGAAAATGCCCAGTTAGCAGGGAGGTCGCTCTGGGGAAGGCGGCACTACCTAGACCAGCCCTTTATCAGAAACAAAAAACGTCAATGGGAACATTTAATTCCTTCCCCCTAAAGTTCAGAAACATAGAACTTTATGGAATGTTTCTTCCCTCCTCCCTTCTTATATAGAAAAAAAAAAAGTTCTTTGTCTTTGGAAAGTCAAACATGCGACATTCACATTTGATATGGAAAATATCTTCTTATTAGAGTGGTGGTCCAGACTGCTGACCCTTAAGATTCCCCAGGAGTTTTAGCTCTGTCGGGTTTTTGCCAACTCCAGACACAAATTAATTGCCCTCTTTGTACTTGCCCGGTGGTCCCTCTTGATTAAAAAGCTGAATCTGACTTGTCCCCAACATAAATATAACGTCTTTGAGTCTGTGTGAAATCGAGCTCCTTCCAGGCATTTGACGAGTGCTAACGTGACCTCCTGTGCAGCAGGCCCTGCTCCTGGGGTAAGGAGGCCAACGTCCCAGCCCTTTCATGGCCAGGGGTATGCACATGTGTGCATGTGTACAACTGTGCATGTGTGCACGTGTATGTCCTGGTGTGCATGCATGGGGTTTGCGTGTGTGTAGGACTGCATGTGTGTGCATGCATGTGTATGTCCACAGTGGTGTGAGCATGCGTGTGTGCACCTATACCCGTGTGTGCATTGCCACTCTCTGCAGGATGGCCAAGAATGGCAGGCTGAAACCTGGAGGTTGGCAGGGATTGGTGTGAGAATTGGTGGAATGAGAAAAGGCCACGTGTAAAGTTCATTTTAACTACTGCTATGTAGACAAAAAGTAGAAGAACACAAGATTTTGCCTTCTTTTTTTAATCTTGAACTACTCTTTCTCCAAGTCTGTTCATCCAGTGAATTGCCATGAAAGGGGAATAGAGAAAAACAGTTCCTCTCTCTGGTACCAGTTCGGTCAGTTTTGAATTTCCACATGGCCCCAAGTTTAAAATCACATTTTCCAGGGAGATGACCACAGTTACCTCTTTTTCCACCCACACCCTCCAACCCTGCTGAAGGTCCTTATTCATCACAGGACACCGAAGCAGGGCGTAATATTCCCCCTTCCACACCCTTCTCAAGCTGTTCTCCCGCTGCCTACATGCTCAGCTCCCACATGCTCACTGATTTCTAAAAGTTCTCCACCCTTTAAAATTCAGGAGCTGTCCCATGTCCCTCATTTTTTTTTCAAGTACTCCAGACAATGGGAGATTTTCCTTTCTTTCTGTCTCTTCTGTTCCTGTAGCCGTTGTCACCTCGTGCTGCCTTGCATTTCACTTCTGTGTATATGAACGATCTGCTCGGCGAGCTCTGCATCCCACTCGTCTTTGCCCTGGCCAGCACGGGGACCATGACTCAATAAACACTTGCTCATTCTGACAAGGATGACAGGTATTGCAGGTTTCACTTCTCAGCATGGCCTGCCAGATTCCTAGAATCTGCTCAGATGCTCTGTCTCTGTGATGCAAGTTAAAAAATTGCAGTGATGGAATTTGCTGACACATCTACATGAAGAGGGATTCCCCATTTGGCCTGGTGCAGTTAGGACAGTGTTCTTTTGCACAGGATCTGCTGAGAGTAACAATAGAGTGTCCTGCTTTTAATTCTTGTTTCCAGCCACATCACAGGGACCGATGGATGTAGAATTAAAAGACTTGGGCTGGAATTAGGATTTGCAGAAATGATGCAGTCCTTTTGGTCTCAGCTGAGGGATAAGACTACCCCCTTCACAGGCCGATTTGAGATGTTATAATTGGCAGTGCCTAGGCAGCCAGCTGAGCCCTCTGATGTCATTGAACCTGAGCCAAAGGGCATCATGGTAGCAAGGCAGGTTTTCACTTTATTAACATGACAGAATGTGGTAGGAATCAGCCTATAAGCTTGTCCCACTTCCTTTTCAGATGGGAAGCTGTATGACGCTTATGTCTTATACCCCAAGCCTCACCAAGAAAGCCAGAGCCATGCCGTGGACACGCTGGTGTTGAAGATCCTGCCCGAAGTGCTGGAGAGGCAGTGTGGATACAAATTATTCATTTTTGGCAGAGATGAATTTCCCGGACAAGGTATGTTTTAAAAAACAGTACAAAAACTGGGCATGCTCTCTCTTCTTTGACTGTACCAGTCGCAGCAACTCTGCTCGCCTTCCCCAGAGAAACATGGGAGGTCTGTGGCCAGAGCCGCTTGGCCCGGCCAGCCTCCGGCTTGTGATCATGCAAGTCTCATTTTGGAGTAAGGATATGCTTAACTCAGTTCCGGGAACAGGTGGCCAGGGACTTGGTCTTGGGCAAAAGGCTAAAAAGTAACCGGCAGTCATTTGCCCTCATGTCACTGAGAATAACTGCTGAGTGTTTAGACATGTAAATTAGGTTATGTTTAAGGCTGGTTTCATAAAGACCACGCCCACTTGCTCCTCCCTTGCCTAAATAAAATGGAAGTTTCATATTTGTTTTTCCAGTTTTATCGGAGGTTGGCTTTGGGCAATTCAGGGAACATGTACAAACCTCAGCTGTCTCATCTGTAAAATGGGGGCAAGAAAGCTTCCCTGACTCAGGCAAGAGAATTAAATGAGCAGAGCTGAGAAGGGCCCAGGATGGAGCTTGGCACACATTGGACGCCCTACACACCAGTTTCCTCGTGTCTCCTTTGCCTCTCTCCTTGAAGACTATATGGCAAAATCTGAAATAAACATTCTTTCCTGGCTACCAGGAAACGCTATTCACTCGCCTATTCAACAAGTATTTATTGAGAGCCTGTATGTGCAGGACTCCAGTCTAGGCACAGAAATGCAAAAGTTAGCACCTGTCCTTGGGCAGGTAACGATCTATTTTAATACCTATTCAAGGCAGCTGCAGACCTAACAGCAGAGCTGGGTATTATTTATTTATTTATTCATTTATTTTGAGATTGAGCCTCACTCTGTCACCCGGGGTAGAGTGCTGTGGCATCATAGCTCACAGCAACCTCAAACTCTTGGCTTAAGTGATCATCTTCCCTCAGCCTCCCAAGTAGCTGGGACTATAGGCACCCCCCACAAGGCCTGGCTGTTTTTTCTGTTTTTAGTAGAGATGGGGTCTCACTCTTGCTCCGTCTGGTCTTGAACTCCTGAGTTCAAGGGGTCCTCCTGCCTCAGCCTCCCAGAGTGCTAGGATTACAGGCATGAACCACTATGCTCTGCCTGTTTTTTTTTTTATTTTTTAGAACTCCCCTTCTACCCACAAGCAATCATCAGAGCATGTTGTTTAGTTTTTAAGTTAGTCATATAAATCCTGGTCATTCAACAGCAGTAAAGAGGAAAACACAAATACAAGATCAACATAACATTGGATCTGACTTTCTTTTTCCTATCCTTTGAAACTCTGTTTTCCTTTTAAATGTCTTCATCATCTAATACACACCAGACCTTCAGCTAGTCTGGGAATACAAAGTTAGACACAAGGAGAGACACTTATGCCCAAGGAAAGTGACATACCAACAGACCACGCACACAAAAAAATGACTCATGAGCACGGAGGACCAATTCTTCAAAGACAGCTTCCCAGAAGAGGCAACAAAGATTAAAAACCGTTTGCTAATCCATTCCTAACTTGACCATGTTCATTTTGAAGTCCACGTTCTCTTCCTGGAGCCCATTTGTGGTATTCTCAGTAGCATCATGACTCGGGCTCTGCTGAATCTTGTTCCTTTGCTTCCAGCCGTGGCCGATGTGATCTATGAAAACACCCGGCTGTGCAGGAGGCTGATTGTCATCCTAGTCCCGGAGTCACCTGGCTTCGGTCTACTAAAGAACATGTCGGAAGAACAAATCGCAGTCTACAATGCCCTCATCCAGGATGGGATTAAGGTCATTCTGATCGAGCTGGGGAAAATCGACAACTACACAGCTATGCCGGAGTCCATCCAGTACATCAGGCAGAAGCACGGGTC